TTCTTCTTCTTCTTCTTCTTCTTCTTATCCTCCTCCTCCTCCTCCTCCTCCTCCTCCTCCTTCTTCTTCTCCTTCCTCTTCTCTTTTTTCTTCTTCTCCTTCTTCTCCTTCTTCTGCCTCACCTTCTTCTTCTTCTTCTTCTTTTTATTCTTCTTCTCCTTCTTCTTATGCATCTCATTCATCTTCTTTTCCTTCTCCTTCTTCTTTGTCTCATTCTACTTCTTCTAATTCTTCTTGTTCTTGTTCTTCTCCTTCTCCTTCTTCTCCTTCTTCTACTCCTTCTTCTTCTTCTGCTTCTTCTTGTTCTTCTTCTTCTCCTTCTTCTCCTTCTTCTGCTCCTTCTTCTTCTTCTTCATCTGCTTCTTTTTCTTCTGCTTCTTTTTCTTCTTCTTTTGCTTCTCCTTTTGCTCCTTCATCTTCTTCTCCTTCTCTTCCTTCTTCTTCTTCTTCAGCTTCTTCTCTTCTTCTCCTTCTCCTCCTCTTCTTCTTCAGCTTCTTCTTCTTCTTCTTCTTCTTCTTCTTCTTCTTCTTCTTCTTCTTCTTCTTCTTCTTCTTCTTCTTCTTCTTCTTCTTCTTCTTCTTCTTCTTCTTCTTCTTCTTCTTCTTCTTCTTCTTCTTCTTCTTCTTCTGCTTTTTCTGCTTCTTCTTCTTCTTCTTCTTCTTAGTCTTCTTCTTCTTCTTCTTCTTCTGCTTCTGACACAACATAAGGAGGATAAGTAAGGAAAACTACCAGATCAGGCCCTTAAAATCATTGATTTCTATAGTACAATTCAACTTAGGATGCATTGTAATTTCTATAATATATAGCCTGAATTTTATTCTGCAAATCAATGTTTTGTAAATGATCTACCATATTGTATACTTTGGATTGAATTATTGAAGTAGAAGCAAATGAAACAGAAGAGCACAGTCTTAGAGAAGGAAGCCTAAGAAAACTTTCTCTCTGCTCAAACAATGCGGTAGAGGTATGATAATAAACAACTACGCTACATTTCCCAATCTTCTTAATAGGAAGCAATAAATCCTCCCAGCTTTCATAATTCATCCTATTTCCTTCTCCTTCTTCTTCTTCTTCTTACCCTAAAGAAGAGCATTCTTCCCTCCATTCAAGAAAGCAAGAACAAATAATTTCTCCTCATCTTTTCATCCAAGTAAGCATGGTGAACCCTTTCTTCACCTTCTTCTCCTTCTTTTCCTTCTTCTTCTTCTCCTACTTCTTCTTCTTCTCCTCCTTCTTCTTCTTCTTCTTTTGCTTTATCTACTTCTTCTTCTTTACCTTCTTCTCCTTCTGCTTCTTCTTTTCCTTCTTCTCCTTCTTCTCCTTCTTCTTTTCCTTCTCCTTCTTCTTCTTCTTCTTACCCTAAAGAAGAGCATTCTTCCCTCCATTCAAGAAAGCAAGAACAAATAATTTCTCCTCATCTTTTCATCCAAGTAAGCATGGTGAACCATTTCACTTCTCTTTTCTTCATTTTTTTTTATTTTTTTTTATTTTTATTATTTGTCTTATACTTTTTCTTCCATAAAAATCTCTATCTCCATCTTTCACCCTAGGACGAAAGGCCCACCACCCAAATATTTCTCTCTTTCCTTCTACCTAGGTTGATCATCCAAATCCTTCTCACACTCTTTTTCCCTAGCCCAAAAACCGAAACATCCAAAACCCACTTTTCCATTGTTCTTCTCTTTTTCCATGGCTAAAATTTCCTAAACTGCACTTCCCTTTATTTCCCTTAATAGAAACCTAACTCTAGCCATTGACAGTTTCCTTCATTTCCCTTAGTCAAAACCTAACCTCAACCACCCACACTTGTCCTCATTTCCTTTAGGTTGAATGCTAACCTCAATCGCATCTTCTTCCTCCTTTCTTTCCTGCAGCCAAAACAGTCCCACCTTCCTCTTCCTCTCCTCTCCTCTCCATCCATGGCCAAAAACCCCCTCTTATCTCTCTCTATCTCCCTTC